CTTACTCATTGTTTTATCCTCAGAGCCTAGCCCAGTGTTTAGCAAATAGTAAGTGTTCAATTTACATACATAAGTGAAAAAGTACCCTATAATTTATGTCATTAAAACAGACAGATAAGTATGAACAATTACTAATGAACTATTATTAGAATTGGGATTTTGCCAGGTTCCTTAGGAAACAGACATATCTTTTTATGGCACTCACCTTATCAAAACTTTTCCCAATAGCTGTGATTTTATACTCAGAACTACCTTAGGAGATTTCAAGGTTGGGTGTTAATAGCTCCATTTTACAGAAGAAATTGAGACAAAAATGTCAGGCAGTACCTCAAGGTCTCACAGCAGCTCAAGGTCTCACAGGAGAAGTTGTTTTAGTGCTTCATTTTGAAATATGTTGGCTATGGTGGAGTTTTTAAAATTGTAAGTTGTCTGTATATTTATTGTCTACTCTGTAGAGATTTGGTGGAGACAGATTTGTGGTCATTAGACAGATCTTTTTGTCAGATATTCTGACTCAATGCTGGTTGAGATTTGGTGAAATACTAGAAGTAGGTGTGCTTTGGGAAGAGAGGCATTATTTATTAATATTGTGCACTGATCTCATATTCTTGCCTGTTTTGTTGTTTTCATGTAATAGAATTGATGTCTTTGTGAAAGCTTTCCATTTTCATTAAGATGATTCCAGAGATTGATATGATATTGATACGATGATGTGATTTGTGTTGGGACTTCATTGTGTCTTTTGATTATTAAAATATTTGTTTCGTTGGAATAATGCTCAGAGATTTGGAATTGTCATGGGAGGACAAAAACTTACATATTTCCTTGGACTCTGCAGAATCCAGATTCTGTCCTTACTTGATTGTTTGACCTCAGGCAAGTCGCTTAACCTTCCTGGAAGTGTAGGTGGAGAGTAACTGGGGCTTGAGGGTGGGGATATAGAGTTGATTAGGGGTAATTAGGGGCAAGATGGTTTGGAGGATAAAATCTAGATATGAGTGCAAGTGAAACTGTTTTTAATGTTAAGTTCTTTTCTAGCTTATTCACTCCAGAAATTTTAGTCACACTTAATTATTAAATAGATCAGGATGTTATTCATATCTTTTCTTTTTTCTGTTCTAATTCCATATTTTTGTATTCTTCCATTTTGTGGTCATTAGACAAATCTTTTTGTCAGATATTCTGACTCAATGCTGGTTTTATATGGTTGAACTGAGCATAAAAGAGAGGAAATTGATATTAGCACCAATATTGTATACTCTGTGCTCTATCAATCCTTTCCTGGGTCAATGTAGGCAGCATTTTTTTCAACAAGCATTAAATATACATATACTCCACTTTGCCCTTGTCAAAAAGCCCTGAATTCTAATGCCTATAGACTGTCATATACTTGTAGATATTTTAGATATACAAAAGAACTATCAGATTATCCAGCATTGAGTCTTCTCTTTATAGATAAGCAAACATTGGCCCAGGCAGGGAAGGTAAGTCTCATATAACATGATTCAGAGCCAGGACTTCCAGGGACCTAGAGTCAGGGAAAACTTCTAAGAGAAACTATACTTAAAGGGAAGTTTAGAGGTAGGTGGATATTGGTGAGAGGAAGTTCTCAGAGGGGGTGACTATACTGAGGGAAGTGCCAGGCTCACTGGCAAGTCCCTGAGTCTGGCATCAGCAAGGAACCTTCAAGGAATGGCTGGAAAAGAAAGAAAGGGGAGGATCACACTGAGCCCTGCAGGCCTAGTTGTCGGTTATCTGCAGGCAGAAGCAGTGGAGGACTAAAGAACTCAAGAGCAGAGAGAGGAAGAGAAAGGCTTTAAATCATGTTCAAAAAAGCAGGGGTGAGGAGCCTTTTTCTGCCAAGGGCCATTTGAATATTTATTACGTCATTTGAGGGCCATACAAAATTATTGACTTAAAAATTAGTCTGCTATATTTGGTCGAACATTTAATTAACTCACCCCTTTTACCTTGGTAGGGCCAGACGAAATGATTTGCGGGCCTTATACAGACCGGAGGCCGGACGTTCCCCACCCCTGCTCTAAAGCATCACCCATCTGAAATTTTCCTAGAGAGAAATAGTGCAGCACATGGGCTTTGAGGTCTGACTCCCAAAGTTCAAAGCTCAGCTACTTAGGTGGGTAGGAGTAAAGTTGCCTAAATTCTCTACACCAGAGGCTGATTGTTTGCAAGTGGGGGAATAATGTTATGTACCTCATAGGATTTTGTGAGAAGGATGTGAGGATATACAAGTTGCCTGGCACTAGGAAGAACTCTCTGATAAAGTTTTCTAACAGTAATAGAAATAATCATAATAGTAGCAACCATCTTTTAAGCATTGTGAAGAGCATTCTTCATGCAGAGATGCAGAGTTCCACAATCCCTAATTGACAATTTCAAATTCCAAACACTAAAAAATAAGCTCCCCCACCCCAAAGTATGGCACAAACTTCTTTTGTGGCAAAACCTAACCTGAATGAATTGAGAGTATTTATGACCTTTATTTATTCTCTTAGTGTGAGCATGTATACATTGCATTGTGGGGAATATTGCTGTTTGATTCTGGGTTCTGCCCCAGATCATGCTGGGAGAAAGAACATTGCATTCTGTTCTAAAATTCAAACGACTCTGAATTTGAAGATACAGGTGACTCCAAGGGTTCCAGATGAGGAACTGTGGATTTGTATTATCTCAATCTTCAGCAACCCTTGATATAGATATTTCCATCCCAAGCCTACTGCTATAAAAACGGAGGTTTTCAGTAGTTTAATTTGCCTGAAGTCTCATATTGTTCACAGAGGTAGAGTAGAAATTTTGGTCTAGGGTTGCCTGACTGTGCTTTGAAGAATCTGACCTATTTGTATGCTCGCCTATATCTTATTTATGTCCATAACATTTTAAAAAATGTTTTGTATAATTTAAACATTGCTGTATTCTAAAGAGCCATAGTTTGTTTCTAGAAATAGAAGCATTTTCACAGCCTGATAGTGTTCTGTTACCTAGAGGTTTTATAGATAAGGGGCTCAATTCGTAATGGCAGTAGGAATAATTATTATTACTATTTTGATGGCAGCTATAATTTATCTTGCACGTTATGTGTGCACACATTTGCAAAGTGCTTGCATTTTGCATGCATTACCTTGTTTAATCATTATATCAACCAAACGAGGTAGGTGTTTTACTCTGTTTTATAAAGACAAAACCAAGACTTAAAGATGTTAAGTAAACTGTCAACATATGCAGATAGTAAGTAATAAAACAGAGCTAGGATTTGAACCCTGGTAAATTAATTTCAGGTACTGCATTCTTTTTTTAAGCTTCTCTTTTGTTTTATAATAATTAAAGTCACACATTTATATATGGAAAAATTACAAATAGTAAAAAGATTGTGCAATATCCCACCTCAGAAAACAATCCAACAATCTCACTTCCCACAGTCGCCATCATCCAGTTCCTTTTGCACTGTGTAAAATATAGCCTCTCATACACACAGTTTTTTAATATTCATATATCCTATCAAATAAGGAGGGAATATGCTAATTGACTGCCCCACCCTCAAAGATGGCATTGCCCACAGCCAATAAGGAGGAAATATGCTAATTGACTGCCACACCCTCAAAGATGGCAGTGCCCACAGCCAATAAGGAGGGAATATACTAATTGACTGCCCCGCCCTCAAAGATGGCGGCTCCCACAGCCACAAGAAGGTGGCACCCAGTCCCCTCAGCCCTGCCAGGGTGGCAGGCATGCGGCAAGGCTGGGCCTGCCCCTAGGTGAGCCTGGCCACTCTGCATGCCTGCCTCCAGATACCCCCAGTCCCCTCAGTCCCCCAGCCGCCCAGGGCTGGCCAAAGGCACAGGCAAGCCTCAAATGGCGGCTGCCCAGCCGCCCGAGGTGTAGGTAACCAGGGCTGGCCGAGGCTCATGCTGGCAGTAGTGGCAGCAGCCTAGGTGTGATGGGGCAGCGCCTTCCCCTGGTCGCCGGGTCACCTCCTGCTCCTGAGGGCTTCTGGACTGTGAAAGGGGGCAGTCCAGGCTGAGGGACTGCCCCCCGCTCCAGTGCATGCCTCTAAGGCCTGGTACATGAAAACTCATGCACTACAGCGGGGGGCGGTCCCTCAGCCTGGCCTGGCCCCTTTCATAGTATATATAGTATTCTATAGCTTAATTTTTTTCATAAAGCATCATATTATAGAAACTTTTTCACATCTGCCCATATAGATCTAAATGATTGTTTCACATCTACAAAGTATTTCAGTGTAGGGGCATAATATAATTTATTTAACCAGACTCCTATTGATGGATATTTAAATCATTTTAAATTTATGATGCTTGCAAACATTATTGCAAATGAACACTTCACACAAACATTTTTTCATTCAGATTAAATCATATCTTTAAGATGAATTTTCTAGCAGTGGATTGTTGTGCTAAAAGAGTATTTAAATGCTGAAAGATATGGACAGATTGTCCTCCAAGAATTTTGCTTTCTCAAGAGTGTGTATTGTCAAACTTTTTAAGTCCTTATATATTTAAGGATGAACACTGTAATATTTTTCTATTGCAGTTTCTATTTAAATGTAATTATTGGCAAGGAGGAGCACATTTTTATGTCTTTATAAGACAATTGTGTTTTTATTTCTAAAAACTGGCCATTGATGTCCTCTATCATTTGTCCATGGAATGTTAAATATTTTGCATGTTGAATGCTTTTTAATAAAAACATTATCTTTTGTTCCACGTTGAGTATTTTCTTACTGGTTCGTATGAGCTCTTCACACATTATTTATATGTTGTAGATATTTTCTGAGTTTGTAATTTAGTCCTTTAATTGTCTATGTAGGCTTTTTTTTATGGAAAAAGAGGTTCATTTATATGTAGGTAAATATTTCAGTTTTTTCTTAGAGCCCACACTTCTAAACATACTGTGTGCTTAACAACTGCCTCTCTAATTTATAGAGGGATAATGTTAATTCCAGTTTTATTGTCGCTTTTGCTCAGGTGTACTAACAGAGCCAACAACAGGTCCTCTGGGGCAAAACCTAGAAGTGGAAGCATACTCACAATACAACAACACTCAGTTTCCTCAAGTTCAACCACAGATTTCCTCCTCATCCTATTATTCCAGCCTGGGTTTCTACCCCCAGCAGCCTGAGGAGTGGTACTCTCCTGGACTATATGAACTCAAGCCACTGCCCACGGAGACCCTCTACCAGGGAGAGACTGAGGTAGCAGAGATTCCTGTGACAAAGAAGCCTCGAATGGGCACGTCAGGCGGGAGAATAAAAGAAGATGAGCTATGTGTTGTTTGTGGAGACAGAGCATCCGGATACCATTATAATGCACTGACCTGTGAGGGGTGCAAAGGTAAGCATTTTTTGACTGGCCGCTTTCTCCTCGTTAAGGTTTTACTATATTGGTTGTGTAATTCCCTCAAACCAGATTGTTCCCTTTTCCCAGATAACTTTCCATTTTCTCCTACCTCTTCCTATCTCCTCACCTGGGTTGGCATGTCACAGGCCTCTAGGAAAGGCCTATTAAAATATATAGCTTAGATATGTCACCTGTTACCTATTCACAACCTTACACATAGTTAAGAAATGTATGACTGTTGATTTTGTTTGTTATTTTGCTGTTTTCTTTTAAAGAGAAATTTGAACTTACCTCTTTAAGAATTAAGAAAGAAGGAAGTAATAATAGCTTATTTCAACTGATATTTCAGTTAGCAGGAAATATCTGTGAGATGCAGTGGGAGGTGGGATCAATGACTTTGCAGTCCATTTAGAAGGAAGAAAATATAACACATGAAATATAAAAATGACGCAATGTGTAGTCCTATGAGATTACTCTCCCAACAAGGACACAGGTAGTAAGTTGTAAAATTTCAGAGGAAAGGACAGAGAGGTTAACCCACAAATAGGTTAACCCATTTATCTGTGTATTTCTTCATTCAACAAATATTTATGGAATGCCTACCACGCACTCTGCTCGCTTCTACGACATTGGAAGCTGAATAATAACTGCCCTTGAGCGGAATCTATTGAATGGTGTGCCAAATTCAGATGCCAATGATTGCCATACAAACAAACAGTCACATAAAAGTGGCTCAAGGACGTTTCAAACCTTTGAAAGTTCAAATGATCAGATTGTGTAAAAAAACTACATTAGGCATTGTGCTGTCATTACCTTTTTAAAACATAAATAGTGTTTATGCCCCACATTTTAAAATTAAAACACATCTATACAGAAAATTTAAAACATCTCATTTATGGCCTTCAATATATCCTTATTCTTTTTGTGGAGAGTCAAGTTTGTATAGGTGAAAAGAGAACTTGTAAATTCTTTGAAGGTATAGATTATGTCTTCAGCTCTATTACTTCCCATAGCACCCAACACAGTGCCTGCCACACAAGTGTGAAATGAATGTTGAATGACATATGAAAATTCATGATCACCATTGGTACTTAACATATATAACTCTATTTTGTAAAAATATTTTGAGACTCTTTTATACTACCTAATTCTTTCATAACTCCAAATGATAAGAGTAAATATTACCCTCCCACCCCCATATTTGGTGACAATTTTTTTTTCTTGAGTAGGCAGAGTTTTGGAGATGGAAATCTGATTTTGTGACAGTTAAAAGAAAGAGAGTTGAAAATTGCTAAGAGAGTAGATCTTAAATGTTCTCACCACAGAAAAGAAATAGCATTGATGTACCTGGATGGAGGTGTTAGCTAAGGCTGTGGTGGGCATCACTCTGCAATAAGTAAGTGCATCAGTCAACACGTACAGCTTAAACCTACATAATGTTATATGTTAATTATATCTCAATAAACCTGGAAAAAAGAAACAAAAAAAAACACACTGAAATTAAAAAGAGAGAGAGTTGAAGTAGGGAGGAGAAGCTAGTTGCTTAGGAAAAATAAAATAGTTTCAAAATGACCAGCATGAAAGTTGGATTTTTTTTTAAAAAAATTCTAGCCCCGCCCGCGTAGCTCAGTAGTTTAGCATCCACCTATACTATAAACCAGAAGGTCACGGTTTGATTCCTGATCAGGGCACATGCCCAGGTTGCGGGTTTGATCCTCAGTAGGGTGCCTGCAGCGGGCAGCTGATCAATGATTCTCTCTCATCATTGGTGTTTCTATCTCTTGCTCCCTTTCCTTCCTTTCTCTGAAATCAATAAAAATATATTTAAAAAATAATTTTAACAAGTGTACACAGAGGTTTGAGAAATCAACTGACCTACAAAAAAGAAAAAGAGCTTTGTAGTCGCTCTAGTCAGAAAGTGGCTGGGCCTGTTATTATAGAGGGAAAATGAGGACCAAAGGATGAACCATGTAGGATGGCGTATTTGGGCATAATTCAAGAAATACTTTTCTATAAAGGAGAGAAACATTCTTTTAAAAAAATACTCACCTAAGGATATGCTTTTACTGATTTTGAGAAAGAGAGAGAGAGAGAGAAAGAAAAAGTGAGAGAGAGAGAGAGCGAGAGATAGAGATCAATTGGTTGCTTCCTGTACACACCCCAACCGGGTATCAAACCTGCAACTAAAGCATGTGCCTTGACTGGGAATTGAACTCCCAACCTTTTTGGTGTATAGGACAATGCTCCAACCAACCCAGCCACGTGGCTGCTTTCTTGAAGTGAGCTATGTTTTTCATGTTGATTCAAATTGCTTTTTATTAAACTTCTCATGCTATTTTTTAATACAAGAAGATTTTATACAACAAAAGAACAAAAACAAGTTTAGAAAATTAAATACAAACAAAACTATAAAATCAATGAAATAATAGATGGTTTATACTATGTGGTTTTTTTTTTTTGCTCAGGATGTCACTAAAGCACAGGTTCTGCCCAGCCAGAGTGGCTCAGTGGTTGAACATCGACCTATGAACCAGGATATCATGGTTTGATTCCAGGTCACAGCACATGCCTGGATTGCAGGTTTGATACCCAGTGTGGGAAGTGTAGGAGGCAGCT